ATGATTCATGTAATCTTATTTAGTTATCAAGAATAAAAAAAGCATAAGTAACCATCTAATTACAATACAAATGCTATTTTTTTTTAAATCAAGGACTATGCACACAAAGTGTTTTAAGGCCCACTGCTAACTATCGTAGAGTCTGGAATTACGATAAACTATGTTGTGATGAATACAAAGATGACCAACAATCCACAGATACAAATTGTGTCCAGCCTCCCCAGATCCTAAAATTCTATCAACGATACAGCTACACAGAAAAATCATGAAGAAACATAAATTAGACTTTCGAATGACTCAGGACACAAGAAGAAATATTATGGTAATATGATGACAAAGACAAAGTACAATGGGTTAGGGTTAGGGCCCTAGCCAGCTCTTCTATCTATGCCCATAAGCTACTGAAATATTAACAGCCAATAGATTATTAGCATTAATTTAATGAAATGTGAAACATTTCTTCGTGCTACAATTTAACTGAACCCTCATATCTGGTGAGCATCTAATAAGAATGTTGAATCATACTCCTGAAAATTCCTATTTAGTGCTTTCAGCAGGAAATGTGTGTATGTGATTTCATAAATGTATTTTTGTGTATTATTTAAACACACATGGACCACGCTGACTAAAGGATAAAGTAAAAGAAGAAATAATATCCCAACCAAATTAAAATATCATTAGTTTGAACTATAGCATGCTACTCACACACACAAAAATTAATTTGTCCCCATTTTCATCTTTTGAAAAATGCTGACATTTTAAAGTGGCTTGAAACTTACAAACAAATAAATAAGAACATCCAAGCCAAAAAATAAATACTAAGGTTTATATATTTTTTTAATCTGAAGATTAGAAACTAATATAAATCAAATGCTTAAAAAAAAAATCAAATGCTTAAAAAAAAAGTTCATGACTCTGATATCCTCTTAGTATAAGAAAGATGGTTTTTATATGGGATACTAAAATATTCCGAGTGTCAAACATTTCTTTTTCTCGATAATAGTTTTAAATTTCATTAGCTTATCTTTTGAAATTGATTTGCACATTGTGGTCGATGTTTTCTGTGGGGCAGTAACTTTGTTGTAGTTCAGCGCTGTCATGTCAGTTCTGACTCATAGTGACCCTGCATAGGATTTCCAAGAAGCGACTGGTGGGTTTGAACCGCCGACCCTGTGGTTCACAGTCCAGTGCTAATCCTGCAGTGCCACACAGGGACTCACGTATTTCTGAGCAGATACGGGTCAGGTGTAAGTGTCAAGACACAGTGAGCAGGAACCGTGTTATCTAGGAATTCAGCAGGGGATTCTGGTGTTTACCAGGACCCAAATTTACAGAGTCACATCAACTGAATTCACTGACTATGCACCCTACTTATGTATAGGTTCTTTAGGGATGATCCCCACTCACTGGTTTCTAGGTGGGGATTTTGGTACAGGGGAGGCCTCCTCCACAGTTTTATTTGTCTCAGGTAACAAACTGGGACTTAAAGAAGGGACACAAAAATATAGAACCCTCTGACTCTGCTGGAAAGGCACTGAGGCTTGGCCAACAAGTTGTTAAAGACCTGTGTTCACAGACCTTCTCTTGTGTGGTTCTACAGAGGATGAAGGCGTCCTTCTGTGGATCAACACAGGACTGCTAACCACAAGGTCAGCAGTTCAAACCTACCAGTCACTCCTCAGAAACCCTATATCGGGTCACTGTGAGTTGGAACCGAGTTGACGACACTTACCAACAACAACAACAGAGGATGAAAAAGAGAATGAACTCAATCAAATCCCCTCCAATGACTGGGGGGGTAGCGGGGAGCAGAGGTAGTGTACCATGGAGTTGGTTCCAACTCACAGCGACCCTGCATAGGGTTTCCAAGGCTTTAAATCTTTACAGGAGCAGAAAGCCTCATCTTTGTCCTGCAGAACAGCTGGTAGTTTCAAAATCCTGACCTTGAGGTTAGCAGCCCGATTCGTACCCACTACGTTAACAGGGATCCTACTTAAAACACTTGATTTCTCCAGGTCAGAATCGCCAAAAAATCTACCCATTCCTAATAGTTGGCAAGACGAAAGTGGTAGGACACCTTAAATAGCTTTCATGGCACTTAAATGTCATTAATCTGTTACAGACAGATGGGCAGATGCTGATTGAGGATAACAAACTCAGTGGATTACGCAGATGACAATCTTCAGGGGCACTGAGAGGGAGGTCGAAATCAAATATAAAGCACAGTCTTGAGTCCCGGGACTTCTGGTGTCACACTGTGGGATTAGCACTGGCCTGTGAACCACATGTCGGCAGTTCAAACCCATCCAGTGCTCCTTGGAAACCCCATATAGGGTCACTGTGAGGTAAACAATAACAACAAATTAAGTTCCAGGAAACACAATAAACACTAGCAAACCCATGTTTAAACAAAGATGTCACTAGCAAATAGCCAGTCGTGATGAGGGTACCTTAATATAATTTTGTTTTATAAAAAAGGTATCCTTTTAAATCCATTTGGTACTTCTTTGGCTAAAGAGGGCATTTTCTTGTAGTTATTATTAAGTACCGTGGAGTCGGTTCTGACCCATAGTGACCCTGCACAGTGTTTCTGAGGCTGTAAATCTTCACGGGAGCAGAAAGCCTCATCTTTCTCCTGTGGAACAGCTGGTAGTTTCGAACTGCTGACCTTGAGGTTGGCAGTCCGACTCCTAACCACTACGCTACCAGAGCCCCTTATTTTTCTTGTAGAGAGGGGCACAAACCACGAAAACAAAACCAACAAAAGGAGCCCCAACCATAACAATGGGGCCTCAGATAGGAAAGCTCTTACATGTAAGCTAATATGTACAACTGGTATCAGGATTTGTTTTTTTTTTTTCCTTTCAGTTTTCTTCCATGTTCCAGTTGTGACTTGGTTACTTGGTTTAATTTGCCAATTAATACGATCGAAACCGTGCACCCACTCTGAGTAAAGGATCCTTTAAGGAGGAATGCATCTTTCAGGGTCTCTACAGGAAGAAAGTCAGACTGTACAATGTACCTCAGGAGTGCCTGCCTGCAACTACATTTTCATGGCTGGGAATAAACAGTTGCGTTCACACCATGAGAGAGCTAGTTCAATTCAGTCAAGCGAGTCCAGCTGAGAAGGATGGTTAACAGGTAGCCTAGAAATCAATGTGAAGGTGAGTAAGAAAGTCTAGGGGAGGTGAAGTGTTGGGGGGTGGAGGTTTGAAATGAAGACCACACAGGACATTTTTTATCCACTGAGCACCTGCCCTAAAGCCTTTGCAAGTGGTAGGCACTTCTCTTTCCACTGAAATGGCTTTTGGGGGTGTGTATTGGGGGTAGGGTGGAGTACCTCTGTCAGGAGCTTTTAGGAAGAACAGAGACCTCGCCTACCTCTTTTCCTTTAATGAAAACAGACAGTTACTTTTATGTGCGGACCATTTTACGACTCCTACGTGATACTGTCTTACACTATTTTAAAGCTAGGGGAGAATCAGGCGGTCATTCAGAACTAAGCCTTGCTTTTCTCGATGAAGGGACAAACGTCTCGAGAGACTATGAATTATTAGAGACCACCCCCTTGCATGTCAAAACCGATTACAGTGACTAAGGGGTTTGGAAATGCTGTATGCAATGTTGTTAAAAAGCAGGTGACAAAAACAAACCCCAAAACATAGGAAATGACTTGATAAGACAAAGGAAAGCACAGATGAGAACTCTTCTCAGAACAGCGAGCCGTCCTGTTCTGATGTTAGTGACAAACAGTGGAGTGAGAACGAAGGGCTTCCACACATGAGCAAAGAATGGGCACGCATGACGAATTATGTAATCACTACAAACACAGAAATCATACAGAGTACTTACCTAGTACCTAGATTACCTTGACATAAACCCATAAAATGTGGCATATTAAGTCTTCGCTATAAATTATTTTCTCTCCAAATTGATTTCTACTATTTGTTTTCTGCTATTTCACTATAAGAATGTGCTATATAGTAAGAGACGAGACAGCTTCCTAATTCACATCACCATCTCAAAGCAACGTCTAGAAAAGCAATTCTGTGGATACTTTAGCTCAGGTAATTGTAACGGATTCTTTCCTCCCTATGTTTGGTCAGGGTGAGAGAAGCAAGTTCAGGTTGTGGAGTTGTGTATCCAATTCTGAACAATTTTCTTTGACTTTTGTTTCAGTACGTCAAAATATATTTTGCCTAAATAGGCTTTAAATTAAAAAAACAAAACAAAACAAAAAACAAACCTCTGAACACTCAAGTATGCAGGTGTGTTTCTAAGATATTTATTTGCTCAGAGCTATGATCTGAGCCAACACAAATGTTTCTCATATTCTCATACAAGACCACCCCAAATGTACCTTTGATAGAACTCCACACATGGTTTGTGGGGAAACACTTAGGATTTCAGGGTTTATGGAGTGCTTTTCATGTGCATTAGACAATACACAGGATGTCTCTGTTGAAAGGGAGTCCGTTTCTAAAACCTGAGTAATCGCACAGGTGGTATGTGCGCACGACAAAGCTCTAATGTCTGAAGTTTGGGGAATTACGGCTCTAGCTCTACATAAGGTAACGTCTCTGGGGGATGGGCTAGCATAAATATTATTAGCCAAACCTGTGAAAATTCTTCCTGGCTAAATGGTGTTTTCCCTTCTGTGTTATTCCCTGGTTTATTTCTCATTCCAATAACAACAACAAAGTCCTGTCAAGCTCTCTCACTAGAAATGTCAAGCATTTTACAGATGTCATTGACGAAAGCCTACCGGGATCAGCTGTTTTGTGAGTACGAATCACCTCTCTGACTTCCCCTTGTGATGAAAACCTCCTGACTCATGTAGTTGGGGCAGGGCACCCCGGGCAGTGTGATTCTGCAGAGCAGCTCGGAACAGACACTGCACTGCATGACACATTCTGGCCCCAGCCCAGTCTGGGTGAGCGTACCATTTGAGGAGACCCAGACGCTTGCTCAGTGAACCCGATAAAAATGCAGACACTTACTGTTGCTGGGGAGGCCCGAGTTGTGTGTGTCACTGTGTGGCCAGAATTCTCCATGGAATTGCCGATCAGGTAGGTTCCTCCCGAGCTGCTGATGAGCTGCCCACCGGTGACGCCCATCTGAATGCCACCAGTACCCACCATGCTGTGGGACGAGACCACCGCGGTCACCTGCGCAGAGCTCCCTTGCGTGTCAAAGTAATTACCCCCGGTGTTTTGGCTGTACATCTGCGTTTCGGTGTAAGGATAGGTTGTTGTCCGGCTTTAGAAGGAAAGAAAAAGAAGATGACATTTACTGGTTTATGTAGTGAGTCTAATTTTTTTTTTTCCGAGTGTGAATGAATGTTGAAAATAGACTTTAGACTTTGGGGTATGGGGAGTTTTGCATTTTCTATCAAGCTTCAGTCCCACTGCACAGTTGAGCATACTTTCCACATTAAAGGGGTCCTTTAATAAGACCTAGAACTATACAGATCATTAATGAAAAAATAGGGCCAAATTTCGGGGCTCTAATGCATGGCATAAATACACTGCCAAACATCACTAAAAACACACAAATAGTAGAAGGCAAAACAGATGACTGGGACCTCCTGAAAATTAGACCCTTAAGTACATCAAAAGATTTTGTTGAAAGAGTTTAAAGGGAGTTCACAGACTGGGGAAATTTTTTTTGCAATGACTTATTAAACAAGGGACTAAGCACTAAAATTTATAGAACCCTAAAACAGCTGTACAAGGGAAACGACAAAATAACCCAATTAAAAAATGGGCACAGGACATGAACAGACACTTCACCAAGGAAGACACTACAGACATAAGAAATGCTCACAGTGATTCATCATGGTTGTTGTTAAGTACCATCCAGTCAGTTCTGACTCATAGCAACTATGAGATTTGAACTAACTCCAGTCGGTTTAGAGTCATAGAGGCTCGTGAGTTTGAACCGCTGACTTTCTGGTTCATGCTGACCTTTTGGTCATGCGCTTATCGTACAGTGTCACCCAAGGTCTTTGTTGTTGTTGTTGTTGTGAAGTGCCATCAAGTCAGTTCTAACCCATAGTGACCCTGTATAGGGTTTTCAAGGTGTAGCTGGTGAGCTTGAACAGCTGACCTTACAGTTCAAACCAACTTTGAAGTCCAGTGTATTAATACACAGTGCTACACCAGGACTTTAGAAAGATGTAAATCAAAACAACAATGAAATATTCTCTCACCCCAACATTAATAGCCAAGTTCAAAAAAATGGAAAACAACAAATGTTGGCAATGGTGTGAAGACTGGGACCCTCCTATATTGCTGGTGAGACTGTAAAAAGGTGCAATCTCTATGGAACACAGTATGATGCTTCCTCAGAAAGTTGGAAATAGAATTACCATCTGACCCAGCCAGCCTCCTATTTGATGTATACCCACAAGAAATAAAGAGCCAGGGCTACAAAGGCAAGAAGTGACTGGCTTACAAGCTTTCAAGAGGAAGCCTAGATCTAGAGGGATCGGAGAAGTTAGAATCTCCACTGAGAGTACTATCCAATCTGTCTGGGTGGGGCTGATGAAAGGAGATGAGGATAGGTCTGTTGTGATACAATAGTGAATAATTGTTATCAGGACTGATTGTGAGGGTTGGAAATGTAAAGGTAGCTGTTAGTAGCAAAAGGAGGGGAGTGATTGACTTCGCAGTCTAGGAGCAGAAGTCCCTGGGACCATCAAGGAAGAAGAGTGGAGAGCAGGATCCTACCCAGAGAAGCAGTGACGCCAGAGATGGAGGCAGAGATGATGATGTGTAGAGATGGAACAGCTGGGGACTCTAGACCCAGAGAGGGAGATGGGCTGTGTGCTGACGACCGGGGGGGTGGGGGCAGGCTTTTAGGGTATACCCATGGTTGGTTGATGATGCATGGAGGGGATTGTAACCATGGCAATGAAACGATATACGATAGGATGAATGTAAAGCTAATGTTCTCCCATGTAAACTATCACATAATTCACAATAAAACATTAAAAATAAATAAATAAAGAGCCAGGACACGAGTGGCTATCTGTACACCAATGGTCATCACAGCACTGCTCACAACAGCAAAAAGATGGATACAGCCCAAACATCCACCAATGGGAGGATGGATAAACAATCTTTGTACATACACACAATGGAGTACCATGCAACGGGGAAGAACAGTGATGAATTTGTGAAACACCTCACAAGATGGATGAACCTGGAGGACATTTTGCCAAGTGAACTGAGTCACAAAAGGAGAAATATTGAGACCACTGTTGTAAAATCTCCAGAAAACGTTTTCTTCTAAAGGAATCATTCTTTGGTGGTTATCAGGGGTGGGAGAGAAGAAGGGAGAGTAACTAGCTGGCTATAGGGTAGACACATGTTAACTTGGTGACGGGGAGGACAATATACAAGAAGGGGGAGGTTGGCAGAAGAATGATGAAGACAGGTGAAGACCCAGGGAGGTATATAAAGGCTAAAGGGGATAGAGGGAAACACTTATATACACAACCTTGGAACAAGTGTTGTGTAGATGGATACAGGCAAAGAGACACAGGCTGAATGCGTATGGGAGGAAGAATGAAAGCATGCCCACAAATCTATAAGGGTTTGAAAGAGGGTATTTGTACATGAGTATTTACCTTTACTGCAAACACAACTATAGATGTGGTGGAGCACACGGGGGCAAAATGATGAAAACTTTTTCGATATTCCCAAACATCTTAAGGCAATGAGTTGCTGGGGGCTCAGGATCACAGTCTCAGGGAACACCTTGGACACTTGGATATAATATAGTCCACAAAGATGATGCTCTATACCCTACTTTGGTGAGTACTGTGTGGGATCTTAAGGCCCATGAGTGGCCATCAAAGGTGCAGCTATTTATTGGTCTCTCCTAGTGCAGAGGAAAAATGAGTGTTAAGAACAGAAGCTAATTGGAATCAGTCCAACAGACTAAAGGAACATGTGAATATCAGTCTCCACGATTCTGAGACCAGAACTAGACGGTGCCCAGCTACCACTCCCACCTGCTCTGGAAGGGATCACATTAGAAGGTCCTGGATAGAGTGGGAGAAAATGTGGAACAAAACTTAAAATTATTAATAATATATAAAAAAAGACCAGGCTTATTGGTCAGAAAGAGGCTGGAGAAACCTGAGAGTATGGCCCTCAACCATCCTTAAGGTCTGGAAAGAACTCACTCTCGTGGCCCAATTTTCAGACAAGGAGTAGATAGTATATAGAGAGTACAACGACACTAGTAAGGTCTGCTCACCATAGAACGATTTAATCATTCAAAATCAAAAGGGCAACATTTACCTAAGGACAAAGTTGGGAAGGGCTGGGAAGGGGGATGGACTGGGAATAGGAAGCACATGGAGGAAGTGGGATAACGGTTGTTGTAGGGAGGGGATTGTAATCATTGAGATGAAACCAAGTGTCTGATTAAAGGTGTCCTTTAATAAGCGCACTTCAGAGCACTTTGCCTTTTGTTACCCAGGCTCCAGAACACATAGAAACTCTGGGCTCTTCCCAGCCCCCAATTTTGTTGATAAAACCTCCTGAAAATCCTGATAGCTGGGAGCTGGAATGATGGGCTGACGTCATGCTACATCACATTACTGGATGGCTTGCAATCCACGGCCCATTTCTATGGAGCTCTTTCTTGGTGCCAGGTGTTAATGTTGTCAGCTAGTAATAGAAAGGTTAGCAATCCTAGCCCACCCAGAGGCACCTGGAAAGACCCTTAATAAAGTCACTTGAGACCCAAGTGTAAACACCCAGAAATCTGCTTGTAAAAGGTCACAGCCCTGCAAACCCTACAGAGCAGTTCTACTTGGCCACACGTGGGGTTAGGATGAGTTGAGATCAACTCAACAGCAACTGGCTTCTTGTCTCCACAAAGATCTTGAGCAGATAGTTTCTCTCACCTTGGGTCCTAAGACTCGACTTTCTTCTTCACAGTCCTCTTTTTTAAACAACAAAAATATAACTTTTTCTTGTGAATCGGGTGAAGGTTTACAGAGCAGATCAGTTTTCCATCCAACAGTCCACGCACATTTGTTTCATGTCATTGATTGCAGTCCTCACAATGAAACCTCAGCCTTCCCACTTCCTCCCTGCCTGCCTTTCCTGTTCCCATTCCCCCTCCTTTCCTAACCTTTCGGGGCTTTGTCCTTTTCGGCTGAGTTCATTTCCAGACCTGAAGGATGACCAGGAGCTACAATCAAGCTTCTTGATGAGATTCTTCCTGTCTTGACTTACCAACAGCGCAGACCAAGCTGCCCTCAGCCTGTCACTGAAATGCCTCTTAATAAGGTCACTTGTGACCAAGTATAAATATCAAGTTAAAGGGCTCCTGTCTGTCCCTATCTTTTGTGACCTATCTGATGTAGGACACAGTTGACCACTCCACATTTGCCCTTTCCACCCTCTTTCTGTTCAGATTAAACTTCATTGCTGGATTTGTTTTTCATTTTCCATTTCAAATTACCTGCATTTTAGCATAATTCAAAAAATTTTTTTTTTCATTTTGAAATAATTAGAAGTTGCAAAGATTGTGCAGAAAGGCACCATGTGCTTTAATTTAAATGATTTCAAACAATACCACAGGGTAGTGGCTGTTGTTGTTAAGTGACTTTGAGTAGGTTCCGACTCATAGCAACCCCGGATAGGGTTTGAACCACCGGCTTTATGGTTAGCAGTCCAATGCTGATCCTGCAGCGCCCCCTCCAGGACAGCAAAGAGTGAAAACAGAATGCTCTGTTCTTAAACTGTTCTCTTCAACCCCACAGGCCAGAACAAGCTTCTTCTGAGTCTGGTTCCGATTTTTAGAAACCTCCTGTGCATATATCAAGCCCTCCTCCTTTGCCTCTCTCACCTCTTAGTTCCCATGGCGTTTTTTTTTTTTTTTTAATATATATATACATTTGTTGTGTTTTCACCACTCCCTCTCAAGAACCATTGGGAATCTCCACTGTTTTTTCTGTACCTTAAATACTGGAATTTCCTGAGGTTTCTATCTTAGCTCTTATCCTATCCCTTATTTTTACTCAGATCACATATTTTCACCCTGTACTGAGATCAGATATATATGGCAATTGTAAACACTCTCACATACATTGGTTATTCACTTTTTACTTCCTAATTGTATCTGCACAATTTTAATCCTGCATTTTTAATCACCAATTAGTTTTCTCTATCTGGAAACCCCACGATAGAAACGAAACCTGCTGCCAACCAGTTGATTCATAGCAACCCTAAAAG